CTTTAATATTATTTTTACGTGTTTTAGTTGGCAACACTCATTCAACCATGAAAGGGAGCCAGTATTTAAACGAGGCTTAATTTTCTAATTTTTAACGATACAATAGCGACGATTATTATTTTAAAAATTTTTGTTAGTCTTAACATCAATGAAAATTCAACGCAAAGTAGGTTAATAGCGATATACTAATATACTAATTACATGGAATATAATAATATACTACACTAATAATGGATTTTTTCATACTTTTCGGTTATCCGACTNTTTTCTCTCTTTGTAATAACTCAATATGATTTTCATGACATCAGTTTCGTTCTTAGGCATTTTATAACCTCTCTGGATAATACTCTCATGAATGAATTTACTCTTTGTGATTGCCCTTATTGTAAGTCCATTCTCTGCTGCCAAGCGAGAAATTATTTCAGGCAAAGACTTTTTTGCAACGTATCCTATTATTGTAGACTGCTTTTCAGTTTTAATTTTTTTACATTCTGGTTTTCAAGATGTCCCAGGCTGTATAACTGATTTTGATTTTTTCGGCTGATTTACAAAAATATTGTGAACTCTTTGCAGGTGCCTGTCAAGGCCTGTCGACCCTTTACATGAAATTTGTTTTGGACATAATGAGCACTGTGCGGTTGATTCGTTTATTTTTTTTATAATGTTTCCACACTTTTGATATACGTTCCATATTAAATGAATAGGTTGGTATTTATCAATATTTAAATTTGTTGACGATCTGAAACAATAATAATAATCCAAAATTAATGCTATCCTTGTTTACTGAGTATCACTATCATATCAATTATTATTTTTTTTTTTTATAAAATAACAAATCTCATCCAAGGTAAACGTCTAACTGAAGTAAACAAAATCTAATGTTTGTTTTAACTTACATGGGATGGGCGTCGTTTCCACAAGAGCGTCGTAACACAACCGCACACAGCACTTCACCTCAAAGTGAAATTGACGACTGACTGACTGAGCTGACAGTGCTGACAAAGACAGTCATAAATATCACGATCTCATAAACAAATGTCACAAAATAACAATATGGCGGTGAATGCATTTGTAAAGATTGTCTCTTAACAGAGTAAGGTTAAAAGTCACACGGCTTTGTAAATTACCCCCACCTGCGTTGTTTATTTGTAAATGGGGGAAAACAAAGAAAGTGTCGCTTGACTAACCTTTTGAAAATAAAATTATTACAATACAATTTCGATAAGTGTGTCTCGTGTCTTGATCCGAAAGTCCCAGGACCCGAGACAAATTAAATTTAGAAAAAGTCCCAGGACCCAAACCCTAATTTGGTAGCACTTATAGTTCAACATTTTCTTCTAATTGTGAGGTTCCTATGTTTTGTTTGTATTTTCATGACATCAAGTGACCTTAAAGCCTGTGTGATTACTAAGCAATTTTTTTCTCCTTTTGGTTATTTTGCTGCTTGAGGTTTGTTAGGTGGATGCTCCAGATGAACACTACTAATCTAGGATTTTCTGCATTAGTTTTATTCAGTGATGAGGCCACATTCATCTGGGAAGGCATTTTCAACAGTCACAACCAGCACACTTGGGCTCAAGAAAATTCACACATCACTGATTGTCATGACATTTGCTGTCAACATGAGATTCTTGAGAGATTTGCTATCAACATCTGAGTAGGTATCCTTAATTGTTTGGTGAGACCTCTTGCCTCTTTTGCCAGAACATCGTGACTAGTGCAGTGTACCATGTGTTCTTGGAGCAAGTGCTTCCTAGTCCATTGCAGGATGTTCTAGTCACCACACAGAGGGACATGATGGGATCCTAGCAGATTTTTCCATCAAGAATCTGATATTTCCTAAATGTGACATATCCTGGGCAGTGAATTGGATGTGGTGGATCTGTGGTTTGATCTCCATGCTTCCCAGACCTTAATCCACTAAACTTTTTCAGGGAGCATATGAAAAGATTGATGTACAAGACACCTATGAACACCTTGGAAGATCTCATCATAAGAATCATTGTTGCTATGAGCAAGATCAACACCACCAGGAGTCACTAGATGGTGTGAGTTTTTCATTCACTAGTGTTAGCTGTGCAATGACTCCCTCAGATGCTACTTTGAGTCTTTCTCTGATGTGATAGGAAATGTGAAACTCCTAAATTGATTAAGACTTTTTTCACTGTTGAAGGATCAATGTGAATATGTAACTACACTCTTTTCTGGCACTGTGAGTGGAAGGTTCCATTGTAAACATTGTTCATCTTGATGAACAATATTTACAATGGAACCTTTCATTCATCTTTATACTATTACCCCTCTTTTTGTTGAAAGAGTATAATCACCGTATATATGAAATAATGTTTTTGAAAAACTTTATAGAATATAGAATTACAGAATTCAGTCTTATTATTACATAATTTTTTCTATAATTTCTATTTGTTTTTTAATCTCTTAACATAATGCATAATTATTTCTTAGAGTTTATTAATTTTTCTATAGCTCATGATCTTGCTTTTGATGTATTAAGTTAAGAGAAGATTAAAAGAAGGTTTGAAAGTTTGAATATGTAAATCATGTAAAGATAAAGAATTAATGTTGGAAATGCTGGAAATTTTAAGTATCAGTATGCATACTAAACATCTGTCCAGGAAAAAGATCTTTCAGCATTACACAAGTGTATGTGGTGCATGTTTGTTCCAGAGCTAAAATAACCAAAGGGAATCAGTTTAAAACTATTTAGCATAACACAAATAATCTCTGACTGTAAAGGATAAAAATAACATTACAAAAATGATACAAAAAGTGAGTTTTATTTTTGTTAGAAAACATGTTCAAAACAACCATCTTCAGCAGCAATACAAATACATAGATGGTTGCACATGGTATTATGAATGGTATCCTGGTATTCCTGGTGTTAGCATTTTACAGGCCTCTCATGTGCATCTCTCCAGTTCACCAACATCATATGATATTGTGGGTATTCATCATGAACCAATGCTTTTGGGTATCTCTACAGGAAAAAATCCAGAGGAATCAAGTGTGGGAAATATGGTGGCCATGAAACAGGACCATGTTGTCCTATGCACCAGTTGCCAAATTGCTCTGTGAGCCACTTATGCATATCTCTCCAGGAATGAGGTGGTGCACCATCATTCTGGTACCAAACTTACCGTAATTGCACCAGTGGCAAGTCATTTGTCCATTGTCATGTTTAGGATGTTCAGATATTAGTCACTGTTCAGAGTGCTGTCTATTCATGGAGCATGCTCTGCCCATGCTGGAAAAATCTCTCTTGATTTTTCCAGCATTGCAAGTGTCCAATGCAAAAGATTAATTCATTTAAAAAATTCTGCTGGGCAGAGCATCTTTTGTCCCTGGACAGATGTTTAAGTGGACACTCTGTGGACATTTTTTGAAATAAAATATGATTTAAAGTAATTTATTTATAATTAAAAAGTTAAATTTATTTGAAAAAATTTTATATTTTATTAACTGTTACATATAAAATAATTTGACAAAACTGGAAAAGTAACCAAATGAAAGAAGCAGTACACCTTGTATAAATCCAGCTACTACAAAGAATTAAGGAACACAAATACACCACTGAAAAAATCTCAACACCATGGTCTTAGCAGCTTATGACTCCATGCAGGGCATATAGATAAAATGAAATGAAACTAAGATCATTTGGCTTGCCAGAAGCCCTAACTCAAGTTCTTAGAGTTAATAAAAAATTTTAAAGCTAGTAGAAAACACTTTTGTATCAATTAAAGGGATCAATCTATAAATGAGCTTTAACTTTGACTTGGTGTTTCAATAATTGTTTATTTTTATTTTATTTTTGTACCATTTATGTTTTTATGTTCTGATTAGCTTATATTAGATTTATGTATTGATATATTTCTTATATCCCTTGTACTTGAATTGTATAAATGTTCTATTGATTTAGAACATTTTTCTTATTCTTTTCAATTTAAATTATTTATGCTGTGTTTAATATGTTTTCCGAATGTTATTTTTGTACTTTTTTCATTTAAGTTTGATGTTCCACTAAAGAAGGCCTGTGGAAGTAGATCAAAAAATGTTTTTGTTTTTGGTTAATTAAATATATTGCTGGAGTTATACATGGTGTACTATTTCTTTCATTTGGTTACTTCTCCAGTGTTGTCAAATTATTTTGCTCTTTGTTCACAGAAAACTGCAGGTGAACATAGATGAAATTATAAATGACTTAGGAATGAAACCTAGAGAACTTGAATCCTACTATAAGCTGTATTTAAATTGTAATGACTTTGTTGTTTATAAATAAATGGTGCTTTATGGTATGCTTAATTTTTGTTTATTCTGACTGTACTTTTTAGATCTTCCTTCCAGATCACCCCTGAGCAAAATCATAGTTATGCCATTTTTTTTAATTGATTAAAATATTTTTTTGCAGTTCAAACTGTTAAATAAATCTTTTAATATTTTATATATAAAATTAAAAGAAAGTAAATTTTTGCAAAAATTCACTTTCTTTTAATTATGATTAACAATGACTAACAATAAAAATAAAATAATTCATAAAATATGATAATATTTAAGCTTACTGATCTTGAACATCATTTCATGCATAGTTGACTTAATGAGTATATAAAAGATAACTTCAACTACTTGAAGGTATAAAGATANGCGTATTGGAAGCAATTATTTGCGAGAAAGCTAAAAAGATACACGCTGATCTCACGAAAAATCAAGCAGGAACTAGCCAGGAAAGCGAGTGTTTAAAGCCAGCCATTTTTTTTACACGAGAATGGATTAATCGTTTTTACATTACTTCTTATGGGAAAGGTTGATTTGGTATACGTCCAATTCGGTATAAGTTCAAACTTCGGGAACGGATTAAGGTAGTATACTGAGGTTCCACTGTATATTGCTGGAGTTATGTATGGTGTATGGCTTCTTTTGTCTGTTATGTATATCTTTAAATTAATTTTTGTTATAAACTATTAATTCATATATATTAATTTCTTTAGGATCATTGGCTTCATTGTTATTTGTCTCATTATTATGGGGAATGTCAACCCCATTTTTACGCAAAGGGAGTGAAGGAATTGAGAAAATCAAACACAAGAATTTCTTTAAGCAATGGTTTGCAGAATTATGGTTTTTGGCTACAAGATGGAAAGTAATTATTATTTTTTTCTTAAAATTTATAGTAATATATTAAAATAATGTAATTTATCAAAAGTACATTTATAAGGATTTTACCTTAAAACTAAGTAATGTTCATGTTAAATATGAACTAAATACTTAACAAAATTTATCAGAAAACATTTATTATCTATGAATTAAGAAAAGTATTTGTTTCATCTTATTAAGGAATTGTAAAAGTTGCATTTTAATTCAATTAGAGTATTGATTATCTATATTGTTTGTTTAAATAAATTGATTCAAATACACTGGTGATTAAAAGTTAAGCAATAAATACAAAAACATGAATAAAAGATTTTTGTAATCGACTTTAATAGAATTTATAGGTTAAATTCATTTTAATGTATTGCATTAATGTATGGAAAAAAAATAGTAGTTCCAAAAATCACTACTAGAGATATTATGTGTAATCTGTATCAGTTAGATTTACAAAACACATTTGTAGTTAACTATAATTTCAGGTAGCCGTTTTCAGGTAGAGACATGCCTAATTACCGACAATTTTAATGAAATTGTAATGATTAACAATCAGAGTGAAAAAAAGCACTGCTGGAATGAAATACATTACTGCTAAAGAAGTGTCCTTAGACTATTCATGTCAATTAAAGAATGTGTTCAATGTGGTGGCTATGGGTACAAACCAACAACTGATACTGCAAGACAAAATTTTTAATTGCAGAACACAATTGATCTGATGAGATCTGTCACATGTTCCATTACAATTTTCATTAAAATTATAAGATTACAATTTTCATTACAGTTATCTGTAATTAAATACATTTATGTTTGAATAAGCTGCCTGTGGCTAACTATGAATGTTTTTGTAAATCTAACTGATGTAGACGTCATATATTGCCTCTACACAAAAGCAGTAACTCTTGCAGACAAAAACATCACAGTATTAAACCTAAATATTGCTGATCTGGATATAACACATTACACAAAATGCAGAAACCCTATCAGGCACTCTTGAGCTCAGAAGGGGCTCCACAGTAGGAACCCTAGCAATCTCATCCAGGATTATGATAACAGAACTGCATCAAACTGTTGGCTGACTCATAGATGCCTCTTTAGATAGACAGAGAAGTTTATGATTGCCATACAAAGATCTGGTTGTAAATATAAGAAACTGTAGGAAACACATTTTAAAAGATATTTCACTTACAGGTGACACTTGTAGGAAATGCCACATCATGAATGAAATTATAGATGATGGTAGTTCAGGTTGCAAGCTTTTAACATAAACTGACTACTAATGTCAACAAAATAGCAAATATAATACATGGAAAAGCTTGTACACAAATACAAACTTTCTACACACACAGGAACCATATTGCAAATACACACTGGAGAGAATTATAGAAAACAGTGCAAACAAAATATACTATTACACCCTTAATCACAGTACATGATTAAGGTTTGGTAATAGTATATTTTATGTGCACTGTTTTCTATAATTGTCTGCAGTGTATATTTGCAATCACAGAAAAAACAATTTATTCCAACAAATGAGACATCAGTTCAATGACAAAACAGTATTACATTATAGACCAACGGTGGGCAACCCCCGGCCCACGGGCCAGCTACGGCCCGTGAAAAGTTTCTATCCGGCCCGCGAGATGTTTAGAATAAATTATAAATAAATATTTTTCGATGTAATTCATCTAGTTTAAATTGAATATTATTTTCTAAAGTGTTGCGGCAGCAATGACAGGAAAAAATAAGGGAGTCATTTTCTTATTCAAACAAAAAAGGGAAGAACAGAAATTTTCTAAATTATTTCTATCTCATCGCATCATCCATCAAGAAAATCTATGTGCAAAAGCTATGCAATTAGAAAATGTAATGTCTGTCGTATCCAACTACATAGTGCTGTTTTTATTGTGTTTAAAGTCACTTGGATTTTACAAATAGGTGAGCCGTTCACAGCCCGGCACACGCATTTGTAAAATCTAAGTGACTCATACAACATGAAATTCATATAAAATGGAATAATCAACAGTGTTATAGGGGGTCGACTGTAGTAATTAATTTCTTTTTATTTATTTATTTCATATTTGCAGACTAAAAATTTACAGGTCACAAAATGTCAATTAACTATTATGGCCCGCGGAAAAAACGTAAAATTTATTCTGGCCCATGTTATAAAAAAGGTTGCCCGTCCTTGTTATAGACAACTGTACTAAAATGAGAGTGCATCTTATATGCCATAGAATACAATATATACACACTGATATTATAAAGTATTGTACACCTGCAGAGTATATGAATCAGCAAAGTTTTTTTAATGTATCAATATGATGGGGATAATGTATTAGTATTAAGTAATGATAAATATAGAAGAAAAATAAAGAACTTCAAAGTTTGATTTACTGCAATTTATTTTTATACTAGCACAAGTGCCCATTGAATTTCAAATAAAAAGTTTCAGCCTAACACAATGTATTTGTTGCTATTTCATGATATCATCTTTGGCTTTGATAATAGTTTAATTTGTTTCCAGTATACTGTCAGTGAGGCTTTGAATAACATCACAACTAATGTTATGATTCCATACACAAATAGTCACATCTTTCAGCTTCCATTCTTTTAAAGTCTGTGCTTTTCAAACCTCAAGAACCATGAGATGCCACAGATTTTCAATTGGGTTGAGATCTGGTTAATTTTTGGTTTAATTTAGCACTTGTATTCCCAGTTATGTATTTTCTTTGCCTTTGGAAGAGTTGAATGTCAGGTAATTATTTAGTATTTTAAAGGTATCGAATACTGCTAAAACCAGAAATCTACACTTATCTGTCTAGATATGTGAAGGATGCCAGATCTTGTTGGGAAATGTATGGTTCTAATCCAAATGCTTTTCTGTTTGTGTTGATGTGATATCTACTGTACACATGTGATAACTTGAACTCTGGTGTTGTAACTGTCACATGACTTTCAAGTAGATGCAGATTACAGTGTTACCTGGTACTTGGACTGCTCTGAACTCTAACAATTTGGTATTTGAGCACATCTTCAGGAAAAGTATTGCCCAGTATTAAACAAAGAAACATGACCCACTAGAAAAAATTTTTGGTTAATAACAAATATTTTTATTTTAACTTTAATTTTGTCATTCATAAAAATTTTCTTTGATAAAGATGAGTAATTTAAAAATAGGCAACTCTAGGGTTTCATTTTATCTTCATCAGGCAGAATTATACTCAATCCAGTGTGTTTTTTCACTTAATACTTGCAGAACCCAGTCATGTTTTGCAACCATTCCAAGTCAATGAAATGTTTCAACAATACATATCAGTGACACATTAAGATTTGTTGCAAGTTCGAGTGTTATTTGTCAATTTTTAACAATTCCTTCTTGCAATATTTCTTCCTGGATAGCTTTTAAACTAAAGGATACACCCTTTCATTGTGTATCCTTTAGTTTAAAATTTCCATAAAATTTTTAAAACCACATTTCTCATGTTTAAAGTATATGTGCATCTTCCCATATACATTATGAATTTTTTTCCAGTTTGTACAGCATTGTATCCTTTCTGAAATTCAAAAAGCATAGTTTGCTGGATATGCATTTTATCTGAAGAAGTTTCAACTTGATTTTACTTAATCAAAAGATGAAGTAAAAAGTTCAAAACAAGTTTCTAAATAAAGAATACAATCTCACTTTAGCAATAATATATTAATTTTCACACTGTTATAATTAAATCACATATCTAGGTTAAGTAATGATAGCTGTAAAAAGTACTTGTACACAAAAACGTTCCATTCAATCCAATAAAATCAATAGGCATGTTTATAGTTTTTGGATTATTTTATGATTTATTCATGCTAGGCCTGTAAACTTCTTGTTAAATTTGTGTTAAATACTAGTTAAAATGCTTTTATATATAAGTGTATTTTTGGGTGGTCTAGAATGGATTAATCTAATTTACATTATTCCTTATGGGGGAAAATTGTTCAGTATTTGAACAGATTGGCACTCATACAGTCTTCTGGAATGAATTAAGTTTGAGTACTGAGGTTCTACTGTATCCAGTTTACAATTGAAGTACAGATATGAACATGATTTGAAAACCTATTAATTATACTTGTTTGTAATACATGCACAAATATGCAAAAATGTTAAATAAATTCAACTGTCAAGTGTTTTTTAGCATAATAATTTCATTACAAATTCTGTTTACTGTATTCTCTGATGTTTCTGTTAATGTGGCAGCACTTTTCATTGCTTGTATAAATGGATATTTATATCAGTTTAAAGAAGCTTCTTTGTCACAAAACAATATCATAGTTTTAATAATATTTCTGCCTTCACTGTGAACAACTTTAAATTACTTCAATTATTCCACTAGCCTATCTTTGCAAAACATATGTACCACTCTAACCATCTAACTTACCTATAATGCACAATGGAATAGTCATTTGTTACATTATTCATTCTTTCAGGAGCTTAAGTTATTGTATACATACTCTAACAACAGTGTCATACAGATTTATTGTGCCATTCATGAAATAAAGCTTTTCCTTGCCAGTTTAGTGATTGCATCTGTTATCATTACTGAAGGAACATACTTTGTTGCCTTCATGATGCATTATATACTATATTGTTTTGACTATAGTATGATTTTTCTTCTTCTACTTCTTAAAGTAAAGAGTCATACTATATACCAGAAAGTTATTCTAACCTGCTTATAGTATGACTTTTATATGTAGCATTATTCCAGCATCTTGCCAATAGAGGTTTGGCAACATGTAAGCAGAGTAAAACAATGTGCTATTTCTTTTACATAGTTTTTAGGCAAGAAGGAAATGGTAGATACAGATTGTGTAGAAAAAATGTAAAGTACTATATTATTTTTCTGACTTTTCTAACGATTATCGACATGACTGTGTGCCTGAAATAGCCATTCCCTAACGGGTACTTTACGTGGATTTGCGTTAGTGTGCCAGGCCTGGACTTCAAGCGTGCATTGAATT